GCAAACTTATTCATCATTTTTAAAATTTACGATGCAGTATATTGTATAAACATCTCTCTCTTATTTTATCATACTTTTATCAACAAAGACAATTTAATTCTGAGAAAAACACAATCTAATACCGATATTTTTTTTCAGCGAAAACGAAAAGAAAAAGCACATCTAGATAACCTCCAAAATGTCTCCTAACCAATCGTCGGGATTTGGTTGTCGAAAATCGATTTTTATTTCAACAGCACAAAATGCATTTGTTTAGACGTTGTCGCTAGCAAAATTTGGAGCGGATTTCCGTCGGTGTTCCGTGATCCGAGAGCCTTTTATATAATGAAAATGAAAAGTAAACCTCGGTCGGTGTCTTGCCTTGAGATTATTTAGATTCCGACGATGTGAAATTTAATTTATGATCTCGACAAGGTGGAGAGAGATGTTAATTTACTATGCAAACGGAGTTTTTTGTGGTTTTGAAAAGCACCGCGTCGTTTTACTTCTATTGTTCGGGATTCAGGTTTAGTAGAATTTTAATAAGACTCTCAATATTAAATATTTAGGGATCTAGGAAAATTTCTAGGGAAACAACCTATAATACCTAATTATAGGGAAAGATAGAAGGAAAACGACCGAAAAGCTGTTAGAGAGATAGACTAAGAAAGAAAAAGAAAATTACAAATACACCACTACAATTCTACTAATCGTCCGGTCGAGATATTAAATCCCGTGAGATTTTTAGGGAACCTTTTTTATGATTCTAAATAATTTTTAAGTTGTTAACGTTGAAATTAGGCATGGAAATCACTTCGAAAATTTTGGCATTTGGTCGCTACATTAAATTATACCAGCAGAAAAATAAATTTCGACCAACATATGAAATACAATACATAAATAAGATTAAACCTAGTGAACATAAGTTTAACACACAAGGATTAACATAATTTCCATAAGATTTCATAAGGTTCATAAGAGTTCATAATTATTCATAACATTAATATATAAGAGTTTACATGATTTGCATAATAACACATAGTTTTACATAATTTTCGTATGATTATGTTATAAAAAAATAATTATATTGAAAAAATTCTTTGTCATTATTCATTATTTTAAATAAATCTTATTTATAGCTATCATTTTACTCTGATCCTTTAACTGTTTATGATCAAACCTTGAGCAGCATTTGCGAATCTATGTTGTGATATCATGAGAATTTTTCAGCTTTTTTGTCCATCTTTTTTTTATTTATTTTTCCAAGTTCAACTGGACATTCACTTTTACTATATATTCGACTAATTTCATTTTCAACTTTTGAATGATAGCATAATTTCACTTGACCAACAAAGTTTCCAGTTATAATTAGTAACATGATATCATCCGGTACGCTTTATGCATTCTGTATATTTTCAACTCTGCTTAAGCAGGCCGGTAAACAATTTCCATCGAAATCTGGAAATAGACTGACTATTGTCTTGATTGGAATAATTTTGCCTTGATAGATTTTGTAATGTAGGTGGATCTCGGGAAACATCCTGGTCAGAATCTTACCATTACATTTCATAAATTTGTTAAAATACATCTACTGTTTACCCAGATTTAGTAACATTTTAGTATAACTTATAAATATTTAAAAATTAATCTATTTTCACTGAAATTTTTTCATGTTTAAATTAATTTCTTCGTTTATTTGAATAAAATCTGGTGCGGAAAAACGCGTTTATAATAAAAATATTCGAAAAAATAATGTATTTCATTTTCCAGAACAGTATTACCGATAATGTCGCGGGTTTGTATACTGATGCGTCTAGCCAGCGACCGATTTAACTGACGACTATCTGTCTACTACCTTATTCTTCGCGATTCTTTATTGTTTTATGCTCAAAGGCACTCAAAATACATTAATTTCAGATGAGATTAATACTTTATGAGCTCTATCCCACTTCTGAAGCTGTTGTGAATAATCGAGTGGCTATATTTAAAAAAAAATACTAATTATTTTTCTTCTAAAACTACTTGTTTTATTTAAAAAAAAACTCTAACTTGGCATTCCTAGTCTATTTCTTAGAAGCGGTAAGTTATTGCCACTTACCTACCTCGGTGGATTTTAAATTAACCAGATTTAAAACACTTTTAACCAAAATAGCTAATATTTTGATTTAAATTAGTTCTTAATAACTAATAATACTACTAATATACTTTTCGTGGAAAAGTTGTGTGACGGAACTTGTATTCTCCCAGTATCCAGTATATAATACTCTAAGGATTCTAAAAGTCATATCCTTCTGTATATTAAAAAATGTCTATATCTATGTGGCGGATTCATCTTTCCAAAAAAATCCTTTATGGATATATCACCACTGCACTGCAAGAAAATCTACAAAATAAAATAATTAAAAAATACAAAAAATAAAGAAAAAAATTATTTAAAATATTTAAATTCAACTATTCGAGAACACTTTACTTTTTTAAAACAGATACGTCTACAAGAAACCGTTGACGTTCTGTTAAAATGACATTTTTAACTTGATATTTAAACTTCAACGTTAACAATTACTACCTGATAACAATTACTTAATAAGGTAAAACAAAAAAGCCCCAAACTGTCTGTATGATTATTTTTAAATTTTACGTATGTTATGTTTATTTATCTTGTTGTATCTATTGTTCGTTAAAATCAAAGAAGCGATTGCTATACATTACTGACATGTACAGAGGCATGAGCAATACATTTATTTTTATTAGATTGAATTAAAAAAAGCCTCTTTTATTTTTCTTTTAGAGGCTACCGCTTCTTTCATTATAATTTTGGCGTAATTAAAATTTATTCTGTGCCCTGTGTCCCAAGAATGCTGACAAATCTTAGATTTGTGAAAATCTCCCTTTCTTAAATAATCTTTATATTCTTTAATTCTAACATTTAAGGGTCTAGACCTTTCACCAATGTAAAATTTATCGCATTCACAGGGTATTTGGTATATTACATTTTTTGTTTGTTGTTCTGTATTCAATGGTTTAGTATGTGATAAAATGGATCTAAGTGTATTTTGTGTTTTGAAAGATGTTCGTATGTTATATTATTTTCCTATTCTTCTTATTTTTTCCGAAACGCCTCGTATGTATGGAATTGTAAGTTGTATATATTGTGTATTGTTATCTTTGTGTCTATGATTTGGGGTTTGTATTTCGTTTAATGTTTTGTCAATAAAATATGGTGGATAGTCGTTTTTTATTAATGTATTTTTTATTTGGTTTATATCTCTATTTAGTGAAATGTCGTCTGTACATATTATTTTTGCCCTATCATATAAACTTTTTATAACACCTTTTTTTATACTTATACTGTGGTTGTGGGTTTTCTGTAAACATCTAAAATTAGTTTATTTTGAAACTTTGACACTAAAACGTCAAGAAATGGCAAACGATTACCTCTCTCTACTTCTAAAGTAAATTTTATGGTAGGTTCGTGAGAATTTATATAATCCAAAGAAATGTCTATTTCAGAAACGTTATGTTGCCATATTGCAAAAATATCATCAACATAACGCAGCCATATTACAGGCTTTTTTGAAAAACTATTTATTGTATTATTTTCAAAATCTTCCATAAAAATATTACTTAACAAATTAAAAAATATGACTTCTGTATATTAGTTCATTTTGTACTCCCCAAGAAAATCATAATAATGCTATACAAATCTGAGAACTATTGGAATATGATAATCGGAATTCAATAAACTCGACAGTTTGATTTCGGAAAAGGCCAGTATCGACTCTGAGATTCAGGACAGAATTAGCAGTGCCCCAAGAGCATTCTGGAAATTAAGCGACAGAGTCTGCTACAATCATAACTTGAGCACAAGAATAAAGCATGCAGTGTACCGAGCAATAGTATCCCCACCAGGTTATATGGAAGCGAAACCTGGGTGCCGTACCGTAGGCACATCAACGCATTAAAAAAGTTGCAACAGAGACACCTTAGACAACTGTTAAGAATCAAATGGTACCACCATGTCACAAACCTACCAGTCCTTGAAAAAGCTAGTTGCGAGAGCGCTAAAGTCATGATTGCTAAATCCAGATGGGCTGGTCCCGTATGCAGGATGCCGCCTACCGAAACCTCTTGTTTACGGTGAGTTTGTAGATGGTGAGAAGAAACCGGGTGGACAACTCAAATGGTACAAGGATACTTTCCATGAAATCTTAAAGAGGATGAGCTTGTAGAATCAGTGGGAGGAAGCAGCGCACAATAGATCGCAATGGAGAATAATTCTAAACTCTGTTAAGAACGATAACCAAAAAGTAAAGCGGTAACAAAGTAATGAGATTTTTGAATGTCCGGAGTGCGGAGGAGAAATAACATCACGTATCGGGTTTTTCAGTCACAGGAAAGCTCATGAAAGAAAACGTCTTGCGTAACCATCTTCTGATGAGTGTCAAATACTCGTCATATTTTGTAATTATTTTTTTTTCCTAGGCATCGATCACCAGGATCGTTAGCCATATACAACTCGTTATTGTTAACAATAATGCAATTACAGGATCTATCTCAATATCCTCAAGGGATTCAATCTTACAAGGGCAATTCAAAATATATAAAACTACAGTGACATATACATTTCAAATTGAGTGACAAAAGGATAAAAAACTGAACACAAAAAAATAGACAAGAAAAAACAAACAATAAGAAAAATAGGTAATTATTTACATCACAGTATCACAGTTGGGTTTGAGTATCACAGACGAATATCACAGTTGGTGGTATATATTAATATCTCTCATAAATTTCAAAATATTTTTAATTTTTTCTACTTCAGTTAAATTATTACGAATTTCACCGTGTATATCGAATCTATTCCTTTCTACCGTATATTGAGGACATTCACATATAATGTGAATTACTGTCAACTCAACATCACAGACTATACACATTGAAGGTATTTCTTTGTTAAGCAGATATGCATGAGTCACCGCAGTATGCCCAATACGAAGACGATGCACTCTGGATTCATCCGCTCATCCTAGTGCAAGAGGTAAGGATGGGGTTGACGGATCCTGTTTTATTGCGCAAAGCTTTGATGTACCTGCCCACTCATCCTGCCATTCCCTTTCTGTTCTTTTATGCAGTAGAACTTTAAGATCATATTTACTAATATAATGGAAATCAATGGTATCTCTTCTAGCAGCTTGCTGAGCAGTTTCATCTGCCATTGTGTTGCTAAGTATATTAGTGTGGCTGGGGACCCATACAAACGTGAGTTTGTTTCCCTTTTCGCTGCACTCTCGAATAAGCGTCTGAATTTTTTGTTTCAGAGGATCATGGACAAATATGTCATTAATTTCAGACACGATCTCTAAAGAGTCAGAAACAATTAAAACTCTAGATTGATTATATTCCTCGATGACATAGGATAAGGCTTTCCAGATTGCAAAATGTTCTGTGAAGAAAGCTGAGGCTTCATGTCTCAAAGTCCATTGGAAAGTTGACCCGTTGGTAATAATTGCACATCCAGCACCAGTTTGTGTTTTGGAGCCATCAGTATAAATAACAATTTTTTCGTTGTATTGGTCTAGTATTTTCTGGAACTTTTGTTGATATATTTCAGGCGATGTGTCTTGACGTTTTAGTTTGTTCAGGTCTAATATTACTTCAGTTTCAGGTATTAGCCATGGAGGATTTTCGAAAGGGATTTCATTGGTTATCATATGCAGATGTTCTTCCATATGACGGGATAGCATTGTTTCTCTCACTATATGGCTAGGATTTGCTAATGCCGAAGTGAGGTAGGATTGCGCTAGCTTCCTCCTTCTGTATTTAAGGGGCTCTATTCCCGCTTCAGCACATAGGCTAGTTGCCGGGCTTGTGTAAAAAGCTCCAAGACCTTGCCTTAAACATGCATTTTGTACACGGTCCAGGAGCTGTAAGGTAGATTTGCAAGCAGTAGAGTATACCACCGAGCCATAATCTATCTTTGAACGAACTAAGGTTTTATAGAGCTGGGTAAGTATTTCCGTACTTGCCCCCCATGTGGTATGGAAGAGACACTTAATAAGATTTAGAACCTTCTTGCACCGTAACACTAATCCATTTATATGTGATTTCCACGTAAGTTTTTCATCAAATATTAAACCTAGAAATTTAGTTTCAGTTCTAAGTTCAAGAGGACAATTGTCCATGAAAAGCAGTGGATGATAGTGGGGCCGATGCGATTTGCAGAAATGCATCACATGGGTTTTTTGCTTGGATAATTTAAAGCCATTAACACTAGCATTTTTTACAACTTGGTTTATGGCATCTTGTAGATATCTACTGCTTTCTCCAACAGTTTTTGTGGCACATGTTATAACAAGATCATCAACATATATACAATTTTTAACATTTTTATTCATTCCTTCGACTAGATTGCTATTAGAAACAGATTATTGCTGAGTGTTGATCCCTGGGGGACACCATTTTCCAATGACTTTGTTGTAGAGAGAACACTACCCAGACGTACCTTAAAAGTCCTTCCAGTTAAAAATGATCTGATAAGTATAGGTAAGTTTCCACAAAAAAAAAAACTGTAATTATTATTTTGATACCTACTTAATATATTTTTTTTATATTTGTTATGGAAATTCAATATACTAGTAATGCGCCAAAGATCTCTTTAGACAAATATTATTACATTTAACTTCAAACAAAGCTGGTATAAATATTAACAAAGTTTTGAGTAGACTTCTACCGTTAAAGTATCAAATTAAATAAAGTTCGTCGACTCCGTAACCGAGCTAAAGCCATGTATGCAGTTGCAGTTCGAGTGTCTGAGACTATCAGCCCAACACGTCGCGAGAGCATCATAACATAATCTTCATAAACTAATTGAACTTAATTTGGTTTCAAAGAAACTACGGGACAGCTTAACTATATTCATTAAATATTCAGAATGTAATTATAAGCAACTGGGGCGCTAAATCTTAGCTAAAATTCATCTTGTTTGGGATGGAGTGTGACACAAACTTCTCTCATACATATTTTACACAATATGGACTTCCGCTCCAGTAAAACGGAGCTGTTTCTTAGTTGGTAATTTCGTTAATGGTTAGAAGGCTCGGGTTATAACATTCATGGCTTTTTTGACAATATTTCGTTTAAGTTTCTTAATGAATAAAAAAATTTTAAAATTTAAATATTTTTAAAATGTAGAAAGTCGTGTTAATTAAACCATTTATAACTGAAGAACGACTGTACCGATTTTAGTGATCTCTGTTTTTGTTGAACTCGTCTCCGCCCCGAATAGCAGAATAGTAGGTAACTATTAAAATGTCGGAAAATTCACGAAAAAATTATATAGAAAATAATTTTTAAATTAAATTAGGTTAACGCACTCTTATAGCTTAATTGTAATAATTGATGTGGAGGGGGTCTAGAGGTAATAAATAATTTGTTTTACTAGGATGTGAATACTGAAAGTATTTATCCAACAGCCACTACTTATACAGACATTATTCATATGTATACATGCACATAATAGTTATTAATGATACAAGTTCATGATGTTCGTATTCACAATGAAACGCGTGTAACGTAAAGCCACGAGGCGTTAGCCGAGTGGCTTAGTTACACCAAGCACTAGTGCTATTATGAAAGCCATAATGACATCCAAATGACTATGCTAAATGTGTCATAATGACACTGTCGTAGATTAAATAAATAATAACACACGCGTGAGTTTTTGAACTTATAACAAACTAGTGTGTTATAACTTCAAAGCCACACCGTTTTATAGAAATTATTAAGCTTTATTCATAAATTACTAATTCAATTATTTATTTAAATTAACACATTAAACGAAAAAATCACATTAAATGAAAAAAAAATAATATAATAAAAATTATAAATTAAATTATATTTAAAATTTATAAGTTTTGGAAATATTAATATTTCTGTAAATCTGTAAAGTTTATTTGAGCATTAAATACTTAGTCCATAAGGATGATGGAACAAATTTCTTCTGTAGTTCAAAGAAGTAAGCAAGCAAGATAGTTTTGTTTATATCTTTGACATGTTTTACTTTTATCCACTCTTCAAATGCCTTGAATTCCCTATCATATACGCCACGAGACTTTTCTGGCAGTATTTGTGCTATAGCCGCCTCTGCCTGGTTAATAATTTCTTGCGGAAGATTTTCCTGAATCATTTTTCTTTAAAATCTGTCTTGCTGGTTAACAATTCACTATTTTATCGTTAAAAAATCGCGATATATCTAAATGACGTCTTAATGTCAGTGCTATTTATTATTTACAAAAAAACAAAACGCACATCTATATTGCAAAGTAACATAAACGCACCCTGATAATTTATTAATTTGCAACAATGAAAGTAGAACTGGTAGATCCTTTTAAATCAATTATTCTTTAGAGATTGGACATGAAACAGTTCTGCTGTTGGATAAAATTTTGTATGGCACTCGCGTGTAAAGGTTAGGTTAGATTAGGTGCCTAACCTAACCTAACATATAAGTCGCTTGAGTCACTTATATGTAAGATAACAGACTAGTGCCATAAATAGCTATTATTGTAAAAATCTTTCCAGGTTGCCAAATTATGAAATTGTAAATACACACTGCGACAGCATTACTGAAAATAAAATAAGTTAAAACTATGTTTTTAAAGCACAAATCGTTTCACGTTAATATGAACTCTATAACATAAAAGAGTCTTTAGATCCGAAGAAATCCATATTACGGATTGCATAATCGTACATCGGATCATATAGGGTTCGTTGGCTTCAAAACTAGAATGGAAATTTCATATACTAATGCATTTCTGCAACTGTCTCAGAGTACATCGACCTAATGTAATCCTCATAGCTTACTTATAAATAGTTAAAGTTATAGAATTCCTGTACAGTTAAGTATATCCACTACGTAACTTATTCACTGTACTATTAGCATGGAGATTATTATGGTGAAAATTACAGCTATAATTACTATAAGTTTAGTAATTTAAAATATTTTAAGTATTAGATATCAATTTATTTAAATTATTTTCGGTTGTCTTTTGAATAATTTAGAATTTTGAAATGGTTAAGTTGTAATATGCAGGGTGGTACGAACTGTATTCCGGTAACTTCGGCAGTATATTCTGCAGATAAAAATAAGTAAAAAAGTCCGTATAAATGTATGTAATAAAATGCTTAGTTTCGGAGATATAGGGTGTAGAAATTTCATTTTTATTACGATTTTTTCCAAATAATTTCTGAAGTAACGTCAATATTGGGATGAAAATTGGTGTCTGGAAGTTTTTTGACACGAGAAATTTGATTTTGGTATCCTATGACTTTGGTGTGATATGACTCCTATTTGTAGGGGGCGCCATCTACATGTGTTTTAACTGTTTTAAAAAGTAATAACTTTTCGTCCGTATCTGTATAAAACTACTGAGTGAAAAAATATCTCTCTCTTGGTAAAAATCGCTACGAGCAACCGTTCTGAAGATATTTAGAACGGAAATAGTCAATACATGTTATTATTGACAAAAAATAAATACGTTGAGTAGTTTGGGAAATTCTTCTTTTTTGATAAAACAGTTTCTGTTGGCATAAAAACTTTCTTTTGGCATAAAAACATTTAGAATTTATGATTTCAGTCTAATAACTATTTAGTCGACACGTTTAATTTATATCAATGATGACAAGTATTGATAATTTCGGTTCCAAATATCTCGAGAACCATTACTCGTAGCGATTTTTACCAAGAAACCTTTAATTAAACCTTTAAGATAAAAAAACGTCGTAAATATATATTTTTTAACTCAGTAGTTTTATACAGGTACCGACGACAATTTATTATTCTCCAAACTGGTTAAAAAATATGAAAACGCCCCTCAAATATTACAATATTTCTTATTTAAGAAACGGTTAGTCTTTCGGGAAAACGCTTGGATAAGCATAATTTATTTGGTTTTTTACATATTTTGAAATTTTTTAAAAAATCTTACAGGGTGTTCCAAAAAATTGGGTAATTTCTTAACCACGATTCTGCTTAAACTGCTTGACGTAAAAAGCATATTTTTGGCAAACGAATTTTTCGAAACTCAAATTCCAACGAGATGAAACTACCCCTCCAATATTACCAAGTTATATAATAATATCGATATATTGTTTTTCCTCATGCTGACATAAATGTGAGAAAATTTTATCCAGTTTGTATGTTAATGAAAATTCTTGCTTTGTTTTATCATCACCATTACAAATGATTAATTCGACGCGAACGAAGTCGCTGATACACGCTAGTATATACATATTTGAGTGGAGCTAATAAAATCTGATAATGGGGAAGTAACATTAATAGCAGACGGTAGGTCACTGTACGATCACTGTCGCTGTATTTATTAATTTTTAATAATAACTAACTTGTATTAGAAATATAAACAGTTGTTAAGTAATGTAACACGTGAGGAAATTAAATCACGATACTACGGGAATATGCTAGTTTTTGATATACCTAATTATAGTGTTAATGTTCTGACTCCAAAATTACTTTACTAACAGGATTTAATAGATATTTAAATTTATTTAAAACACACACACACAGTTCTCCTAAAGTTTAAACTTGCACCACAGTATATGAAGAGCTGGATTTAATTGTTTAAAAATTACGGTATTTTGGAGCATTTTGGTTTCTTTATATTATTCTACTCAGATATACTGCTCAAGAACTTCATTAACTCTTCCCAGAAAGCCTTTAAATTTGACGATTTAATCTATTTCTCCTAGTGAATATGATTATCACTGTATGACATAATATACCCTTTTATTTCGATAATTAATCTTCAAAATCTATTACTAAAAAACTTAAGATTATAGTTGGGGGTTGGAACCTTTGGTGTTATAACAGTAAAATAAAACACTAATTCACCACAATAGACCAAAACACTTTCCTTTTAAACACCTTGTTGGCATCATCAGCAGATAATTAAAACTGATGTCTGTATTTATTTATGTACGCCATTGATTGTAAAACATAAGAAAGGTTGCAAAAAGTAAAAAGTTCATTTACCTAACTCTTTCTTAAGGACCTTGACAACAAAGGAATAGGCGCCCTCTGCAAGTAGGAGTCATATAGACATCAAAATTAAATTTCCCATGTCAAAAAACTCCCAGACACTAATTTCCATTCAAATATTGACGTTACTTTATAAATTATTTGGCAAAATCGAAATAAAAATGAAACTTCTATCGAAACTAATCATTTTAGGACATACATTTATACGAACTTTTTTACTTATTTTTATCTGTTTTTGTTTTTACCTCTAGGAATATGCTGCCGAAGTTTCCGGAATCAGGTTCGGACCACTGTGTATAATTGAGAAATCTAATGTTTCTAAAAATTCTAAGAAATAAGGGT